CTGGTCTTTACTGTTTGTGGATTTGTCTTTAAACCTATGATTTCTGGTTATTAATTTTTTTATTACCTATTTATCCTTTTAAAATAATTTTACTGGTGCATCTTTGACCTGTTTAGCTGCAGAAACTTTTCATTTGAAGAGTAATGTGGGGTAGGGGTTTGCTTTATTCTAATTTCCTAACACCAAACACCTCTGTTTCTGCCATTGTCCCTGCTTAAGATACTCCTGGCTTACCAATGGTCCTCCTCACTAGTCTTACCCATTACCCAACGAGTTCTCATTATACCTTACTTTTAGCAACTTAAATAAATGTATCTTACCAAGGTGACACTATTAGAAAAATCTTAGAAATATAAATTATTTAAAAAATTAGCTACTACTTTTAGTCTAAAGATTCTTTTGTTCATGGCAGTGGTGTTTATTTTGGATCGGTGAAAAGTGGTAGAGTACAAATGCACTCTTTCTTTCTAGTGGTAAATTTATTAATTAATGCATTGCCTTAAATTCTTTACAGTTTTATTGAAATCTTAACTGGTTCATTGCATAACTCCTAATAAAATACACTAAGGTTTGTGGTGTAATGTAATGAATCAATAGAAATATGAGCACTTTCTAAAGGCACTACATTAAGGATTAAGCACATTTTTTAAAAGTATATTAAAGGTGCATATAATATCATTATTGGTGCAAAGTGTGGAGAAATAGGTCATGAAGAGGGTAAGTTCACATTTTTCTTGTCAGTTTTACAATAAATAAAATAACTGAGCAAAATGTGGTGGTTTTAAGAACATTTCCTCTTCTGTTGCTCTGATGATGTGGAATTTCCCAAATCCTCAGTGAGCTCACCCCAAACATGCTCTCTTTTTATTATAGGCCTTCAGCTTCCATATCGGGTCACGTTACAACAATGAAAACACTAATCTTTAACTCACTGACACACACCACCGCAAGAACTAATTTCCCTACAGCCACAGCCTTGCCACATGTGTGACACGAGCAGGACGGAGTTGGGTCAAAATGTGGAACCAGACAAATGATTTCATTGGCAACTATATCAGCCTTTTATTCCAACCACATTCTAACTCAGCTGTTTGCAGCAGGATAACTTGTTTCTCTGCTCATGGAAAATCAGCTGGAGGGTGCTCTCTAGTGGTTTTCATCTGGAACAGCTTCAATGTGCAAAGTTATCTCGGAAACAGTTTGCAAATTTGTTTACAAATTACTTTATCATCATTCATTGTTCAAAATTCAGTTATGTAGATAACTGTTTTAATGACTTCAATTTTCTCATAAACAAGTGGAAATTTTAAACATACAAGAGCTTATTCCAGAGAGAGGAGGTCATCAATCTTTACTTGACAGGTAAGTGTCGTGCCAAACAGCAACACAGCAGGATGCAGCCTCACTGCCTTGAAATCCAGAAAGATGCAATAACTTCCCTTCAGTATTGTGTCACTGGTGTGCTTCTGTTTTCGTGCCAAGTCAAATCAATCCAGCCCCTCAAAATATAACCTCCCATCCATCGGTTTTGATGGAATTTCCGGCTACTTTAGAAGGTGATTCTCTGCTGCCTTTGTGGAAAAGTTCCACATTGCTCTGACCTATTGAATTTCTCCACATACGGATAACAATCCAGCTGCAATACAGGAAAGGAGAAGCACCACACCAAGCTATCTGTGATCACCTCCACATTTTAACACAATACAGAGACTACCACAACCAGACATATGAAAATAATAACCCTATTTTATGGAAAACACTTTATTAAATAGCATAGATAAAGTCCTGGCTTTTGCAACATGATTTATGAAGAAACTAAAACAATGGGTTGGATTTGTAAGTTAAATCTGAGCTTTTTTTGAACAAATGTTGCCTGACTTAGAACTGTAGCATGGGTCATTCGGTAAATGCATTTTGTCCGCCTTACATTGTCAATTTTGCATCACAGATTACTGCAAAAAAAATGCCAAAAACATTGGCAGAAAAAAGGAAGGGTCCATGAGTACATTTTGTTTCAACAAACTATCATTTACTGTATATTGTTGCTGTAAATTATTCTGATTCAAACAAAAATGTTTACAACAACTGTACTTTGGGATGTTCAGAAAGCCTAAATCTGAACTTATGCTCATTCTAAAAAAAAGTGGTCTAAAGTCAATTTTCTTGAAGTAAAATGTTAATATTCTAAATCTTATTTATTCTAATTTATGTATTCGAATGATAAATACATTATAAAAAAATATTTTGATTATTTCTATGAATATGATCCATCTTTTATGGACCTGGACTTTTTTTATTATTCTCTTGTCAAGATATATTTATTTTTCGTGTCAAAATGAATGAATAAAACCTTTTACAATAGAATCTGTTTTCCTCAGAGCAGGTGGGCTAATTTTTAGTATTTTCTATAAAATTCTACTTACTAAAAGATTGAGCTTGAAACAAAAATATAATAAACTATAGGCCAGCATCATTCTGTTATATTTCAGAAACTTTTTATACAACAGAGTGAGAAACTGGTGCATAAATTATTTAAAAGGTCATGTAACTTGACTATGCCCATTTAATTATAACCCACATAACTCACTAATATTGAACTGCTATGGTGTCTCTTTCTCTCCCCTGACTTCTTTCCAACTCTTTCTAAATTTTTGTCTCCTCTCTCTTCCTCTCTGTGCTAGAAGTCTAGTTATTCCTCTAGCTCGCTTAAGCCCGGCGTACATTGTGCGATTTTCGGGGCGATTTTCAGCCTGATCATGCGTCGTGAGTCGTGTAGTGTAGAGGGGGTTACGAGGGGCGATCAGCTTCTCACAACTGCCTCCTGATCAGGAATTGTGAGGTCGGGAGACCATCATGGGCAAATCGCTCAGTGCGCGTGCGGAAACAAGGATTCTTCTGTAAACACAGCAGTGTGGCTGGGATGCAATAAAAGCAGTTCTGTCTGTAAAATTGACATACCGTAGTAGCCGCGTTTGCTCAGACATGTCTTTTTTCCAACTACATCGTCGCCTTTTCTTTTTAGGGCTTTCAGCACAAAATTGGAGAAATTGCCAAGGCAGCGCGGTTCACTATAGTGAGCTTAATATCCCTCTTCTATTTGTTTGGCTTCAGGATAGACGAATCAGAGCAGCTCCATCTCACTGCGGAGCTGAGCCCGACATACTTATTAGTCGTGCAGTCTGAGCAGACAGGTCGCATGAGAACGTTGGCAACATGGGGCGACAGTGGCGTTAGATGTTGGAGTTTGCCCTGAAATCGAAGGGTTGACAGTTCAAGCCCCGGCTCTGACTTTCATTGTCGTTGTGTCCTTGGGCAAGACGCTTCACCTGCATTGTCTACTGATGGTGGTCAGAGGGCCCGGTGGCGCCAGTCTACGGCAGCCCCGCTTCTCTCAGTGAGCCCCAGGGCAGCTGTGGCTACAATGTAGCTTGCCACCATCAGTGTGTGGGTTAATGAATGTATTTTATTTTGTATAATGAATGTAGTGTAAAGCGCTTTGGTCAAGTCTCCTGACTTGAAAAAAGGTGCTATATAAGTACATGCCATTTACATAAATTGTGAGCTGTGAACTCACACTGTACGACTAAACCCTGTGGTTTAGTCCTATGAGCAGTAGCTGCGTGCAACAATTGAAAAAATCACACAGTGTAGGGCCAGCTTTAGTGATAATGGTGCCTGTAGTACTGTAGGTGTAGTATTTTTTTAGCTTAGGAGGTGAGGGTGTCAAAGTTAGAGTTCCGTCTTCAGGCTATCGAACATCCAGAAGTTAGAGTAGGCCCACTTGTTTAACAGCCTGGAGCCTCCAAGGGTAGGGGCGTGTCCACACAGTGGTCCTCGAATAGTTCCATGTTTCAAGCCGATTTTTCCTGCTCATTGATGCACCCACTTGGAAACCCACTCTGGTGGTTGGAAGCTCTATTTTTGGGGCGATTTTCCAGTCGTGCGAGAATCTTTTGATCGGGCCGACTTTCAGCCTGATAGGTTGCATGAGTCGCGTAGTGTACAGGGAGTTACGAGGAGCGATTAGTCTCTCACGACCAGGTGTCATTACCACACTGGCAGTAATGAAACCCGGTTTCCAAAACAATGTTGAATTCCGTCATTTTCTCTGGTCCCCTCCCTAATCTGACCAGTGGTGACATGTTTAGCTGCATGTTGTCATTCAACCACTGGAGTCTAGGTGGGGTCCTGAAATCAGCTGTTGCTACATTAATAAAGATACCATAAATATGAAAGATACCATTTGGTTAGACACTTTAATATAGCTGGCTATTAGAATTGCTCCAAAATCTTTAAATGTCTTAAAATAATGTCTACCTCTCAAAGGGGGGTGGCACAGAGGCAGATATTAACAGTTTGCAATCAATTTGCATTGGTTCGTACTTCTAGAGATGCTGTTTTTTTCTGTTAGTTTTGTTAACTGGCCTTTAAATGGCAGTTCTCAAACAGACAAGTTCATCTTCTGATTGGATGAGTTGTTTCCTGGACTTTAGCTGCTCAACAGATTTGAACATTGAGGGCCACCTTTTGAAAAATAATTAGAGGTTGCTAAAAAGCTGTAACAGCAACAGAAGTAGACTATATGACAGGAGCAATATAACTTTAATCTCTCCTTTAATTTAACCTAACGCTAACATATTTTAGTTTAGGTTTTCTTTAAAACAAAAAAAGACATCCAGTATGATAACTTTCAAACACATAAATTTTGTGAAGTTTAAAATTAATCAATACACAGTAAGCCTCTAAAGAAAGTGTAAAAACTAAACATTTGGTTTTCAACTTCTCTAATTGGAATTGTTCATACTTTGACAAGTTCAAAAATAAATAAATGAAGGTCTACAAACAGTGTAAAGAATTGACATGGATTTCAACTTCCCTAACTAGAAATCTCTCATCAACAGCTGTGTGCTGTTTGCTTGTTAAGCTCTGATTGGTAACCAGTGGTCGTCAGTTCCATTTATAAACCCTCATGCTCTCATTGCTGTTACTGCTGGTCTTCAGTATGATGACTTTTCAGATCCTCCTGGGGGTAAAGTACTTTTTTATGTGTTTGCTTTTCTTTTGAGTTTACACTTTCTTATGTCAGTTTTCTTTTGTCTCCAGGTTTCCCTTGTTGCCTTGCTGCTGCTGGATGTTCATGGACTTCCTGTGAAAGGTGATGTGTATAAACCAAATTTACTTTCAGTAAATTAAGGCAGGTATTTGACAGATGATTCTTTGGGTCTAGCTCCAAAATCCCAACAGCAGGGTGGCAGTGGCACCAATGCAGCTTCTCAGGGAGTAGCAGCTCCTTTCCATGCTGCTCATGCATCCTTCAGTGCTCCTGTAGGAAAGGTTCCTAGTCACCCTTTCCCAGTGCAACAACCAGCACCATTTGTTGGCATGAGCCCAATGGCTGGAGTATATCCAGGTTCTTTTCCTGTTCAAGCAGGACAGTATGGGCCCTATGCCATTCCTGCAGCATATTCTAGTGATGGTTCCCAGTTGGCAGGATATTATGCTGCCTCTCAACAGGCTGAAGCTGCTCAGCCTATCCCCACAGGTAATTGGTCTAAAATGGTTTAGTGACATGCCATAGCTGAATCTTTAACATTAATGAACAAACCTTAACTTAACCCCTACTTCTATCCCCTTTATTAGCAGAATGGGTTGTTGCTCCTCCTTCCTTTGAGGAACCCGCAGCTGATGCTGAGGTTGTCGGTGCCCTTCTCCCTCCTCCACAGCCTCTAGGACCTACCCTTCAGTCTGGGGAGACTGCCAACATAGTAAAGGAAGCTGAACTTGGGCA